AGCACACAACTAGCTGGAGCTGGGATAGCTCAGCGGCACCTACTAGTGGCAGCTTTGTAGAATACGAGTAGAGCCTGATCATATGTGGTCTCCTGGACTTGAGGCTCACCGAGACCTGAATTACCAGATTTTGTCTCACATGGTCACCTCCCACCCCAGTGTGCAGGAGGTTGGTGTATTTTGGATTGCCTGCTGGGTAAATGGGGTAATAATGGAGAACCACGTTGCCTGTATAAACCAGAGAACACTCACATAAGTTGCTGAACTTGAACGTGGCTGTAGAGTTTCCCATAGAGAAGCTTCTGTGCCTCACAACACAAGTGACCATTGATCTGTCAGTAAAAGCGTTGATCCGCAAGGTGCTGCTCACTGCGCATTTCTTGTCATCCCCCTTGAAAGACCCCTTCCTGTTACCTGCAAAACAGAAGAGGCGTTTCATGAAAAATATGCACAGCGCACCTACATGTGAGGGATATTTTGTCCATTCAGAAAACATTTAACTCACTGTGTGGGGCTTATTGGTCTTATCTCAAAAGGAAGGAACACAGTCTGATATATTAGTAACCACTACAGGGAGAACTTACAAACCTGCATCTAAAATTGCTGTTAAGAAAATATGGAGCAGCAAAGGTAATAAAAACTCAAATAAAAAAATCGTTCTGTCAAATTTTGCAACAAAAAATTTCAGCAAGATTTTATGTTATTTGCTCTCTTTTGGGTTTGATAAAAATATAGTGTTTTGTTATATATGCGTTCAATAAAGTGAGAAAAAGGCTTTTGATTCTTCCAAGCCAATGATTGTGTCCTGTGCACGCTGCAGAAGGTACACTATATTGCCAAAAGTATTGGGCCAGCCCTCCAAATCATTGGATTCAGGTGTTCCAATCACCTCCATGGACACAGGTGTATACAATCAATCACCTAGACATGCAGACTGCTTCTACACACATTTGTGAAAGAATGGGTCGCTCTCAGGAGTTCAGTGACCCCAAGTGTGGTCCCGTGATAGGTTGTCACCTGTGCAATAAGTCCATCCGTGACATTTCCTGGCTACTAAATATTCCACGGCCAACTGTTAGTGGGATTATAACAAAGTTGAAGCAACTGGGAACAACAGCAACTCAGCCACCAAGTGGTAGGCCACGTAAAATGACAGAGTGGGGTCAGAGCATGCTGAAGCGCACAGTGCACAGAAGTCACCAACTGTCTGCAGAGTCAATAGCTAAAGACCTCCAAACTTCATGTGGCCTTCAGATTAGCACAACAACAGTGCATAGAGAGCTTCATGGAATGGGTTTCCATGGCCGAGCAGCTGCATCCAAGCCTTACATCACCAAGTGCAATGCAAAGCGTCGGATGCAGTGGTGTAAAGCACGCTGCCACTGAACTCTAGAGCGGTGGAAGATGTGTTCTCTGGAGTGACCAATCACACTTCTCTGTCTGGCAATCCAATGGACGTGTCTGGGTTTGGCGGTTGCCAGGAGAACGGTACTTGCCTGACTGCATTCTGCCAAGTGTAAAAATTTAGTGGAGGGGGGATTATGGGTGGTGGGGTTGTTTTTTCAGGGGTTGGGCTTGGCCCCTAGTTCCAGTGAAGGGAACTCTTAAGGCGTCAGCATACCAAGACATTTTGGACAATTTCATGCTCCCAACTTTGTGGGAAGAGTTTGGGGATGGCCCCTCTTGTTCCAACATGACTGCGCACCAGTGCACAAAGCAAGGTCTATAAAGACATGGAGGAGTGAGTTTGGGGTGGAGGAACCTGACTGGCCTGCACAGTCCTGACCTCAACCCCATAGAACACCTTTGGGATGAATTAGAACGGAGACTGTGAGCCAGGTCTTCTCCTCCGACATCAGTGCCTGACCTCACAAATGTGCTTCTGGAAGAATGGTCAACCCTTCCCATGACACCCTCCTAAACCTTGTGGACGGCCTTCCCAGAAGAGTTGAAGCTGTTATACCTGCAAAGGGGCGGGGCCAACTCAGTATTGAACCCTACGGACTAAGACTGGGGGCCATTAAAGTTCATGTGTGCGTGTAAAGGCAGGAGACCAATACTTTTAGGCAATATAGTGTATATATTAACACTACATTGAAACATTAAAAAACCTAAAACATAGAAACATGTTTTGTTTTGTTTTTTTATACATGTTTTGTATTTTTTTTTTGTTTTGTTGTTTGTTATATAGATCTATGTTTGTCCCAAGCATGTTTTGAAGCCATTTACGGTTGATTGGCTCACTACCTCTGCTGGAAGCTTATTCCAAGCTACAGAACACCATCTACTTATTGAGATAAGGATAGGGGGAGGTGTCCTGTAGTCCTGCCCTAGTTTAACAACACTGCTCCTACTGTATAAAGATACAGTATGAAAAATGAAAAAAAAGGAAAAAAACTTGAAAAAACAAAGCCAATGCAGGCTCCACATCGATGCAGCCCCCACACTGTTGTGTTGCATTAGCACACACACAGATTCATGTGCACCTAAGCGGTATTAAACCCCAAACCAAAAATGTAATATGTGCAGCTTACCAATCTATTAGATGTGGCTGCATTAGTTTTCTTTTTTTCCATCTGTTTTCACCTAGTGATCTGGCCAGTAACACACCTACTATATTAGAGTGCCTCTACTCTATTGTCAGTCGGGGGGGGGGGGGGACAGGAGTGTTTTAGATGTGATAGCAGATTTAGATACACTAACAAATTGAAACCAAACTCCTGCTCACAGTTTATAATCAGTTACAGCAAACAGTCTTTTTTCCTTTTAGGATAAAGGTTTTACATCAATAAAAAAAAAGCAGATTCTTGTAAGAGTTCCTGCCAGTAGTAAATGGATTATCTCAAAGCGATACATTTACAGGAAAGCTTGTTCTTTTGAAAAAACAGACTTACTGGCTAGATCACCAAATGAAAATAGAAGGAAATCCTTAAAAAAAAACATCATCGTAACTGGTAAGCTGGTTAGAATGAGTAAACTGCAATATAATAAATGTTTGCTTTTGGGTTTAATACCATTTTGATTTAAAGCAGCAAGCCATAAGTGCGTTGCTGTTTGTTGCGCTTCAATACATGCGGTCTGCTGCAATATATTACATTTTTTGTTCTGACGTCTATCCAGGATGAGTGTGAGGGACCGCCTGGCGGCACCACTAGCACTCCACTGGTTAGGTGTCCCCAGAGCGCGGAATCTAAGCCCCAAGTACTTGTTTACCAGGGCCCCTGATGGTGGGGATGGACTTGGAGTACCCCGAGACCAGGTCACCGTACTACTGAGTAATTCACCGTCAGTGGGTAGGGGTGTTCGCCAGGGGCTCCAAAGGGGAGAGCCTGATATGAGGAGGTCAGGTGACCCCGATGGGATGGATGGATGGCTGAGCAAGTGCGAAGTCAGACAGGCCGAGTCGGGGCAAACAGAGAGGACGGTACGGTACAAGGCAGCGGGCAGAGAATAGTCGGGTCACACGCCAGGTCAGCAACAGCAGGTCAGAACTAATAGGGGGCAATCAGGAGAGGTCAGGCAAAGCAAGGGGCTCTCTGTGCAGGAGAAATTCAGCAGGTCAAGAACAATCTGGTTGTCAACAAACTTACTAGGTACAGGTTCACAGGATGCAGGAAAGACCAGAAGGCACTGAATGACAGCTCAGGGCCATTTAAATATCCCGCCTGCGCTGTCATTGGTGCCACGCGCACGCAGCTCATGATCCGCGGTCCCTACTGCGCATGCACAAACTCACTCGCCGCGGTCGGCCAGGTCCCAGTGCCCGCATTCCAACACAGGGCGGTGCACTGCGCCTGCGCCGAGCCCATCGCGGCGGTGATCCCTGACAATGAGATACATGATAGTGATATCCTGCCAGTCCTTCAGTATATATAGAACACAATAAAATAAACATAGAGGTGTTGGACTTGATGCTCAGCTTTCTTCAAATGCAGGCTGGTAATGGTCCTTGTTCAATAGATCAAAGTGGGGGAATTGTCATGCAGGAGTGAGACACCTGACCTGAGAAGATGGCGCAAGCAGAAGAAACAGAAAGTCAAATGATCCGTTCAAAAGTCCATATAATCTTCATTCTTGGCAGTGATGTCACAACAGCAGTCAACGCGTTTCGGGACACAAAATTCCCCTTCACCGTTGAAATTTGATTGCTGGGGTTTCCTACTATGGGCTATATTAAAGCGGAGTTCCACTCACTCTGTAAAAAAAATAAGTCAACAGCTACAAAAACTGTTGCTGCTGTCTTTTAAAAAACAGCCACTTACCTGTCCCTCGGTCCAGCGGTGTGTCCCAAGAGGCCAGGCATCTTCACTGTGGGCATCTGGCTCTGTGACAGCTTGCGGCTTCACAGCCGGGTACCCACTGCGCATGCGCGAGTAGCGCTGCGCTTCATGAATGGTCCTGTAGTCTTCTGGGACCTGTCACATGTCCCAAAAGACTACAGGAAGGGAGGGAGGACACCATCCGTTTCCGATCGCCTAGGTGATCGGACCGGAAGTGGGAGCGGGTACCTGTTAAATTCGGGTACCCGCTCCCCCCCCCCCCCCCCCCGAAGGTGCCAGTCCTTAATGGGGAGCGGGGGAGCAGTCCTTAAAGTAGAACTTCCCCTTTTTGTGGAGCTCCGCTTTAAGGTCTCTCAAATGTTGCCATCACACAGCCATTGAGCTCTGCAAGCCCCCAGTTCAGGCAATCAGATACTTTTTAGGAAGACCTTGATGTATTAGGAACCTCAGCAATCAAATTTCAACATTGATAAAGGAGTATTTGGCCTCAAACATCACTGTCAAGAATCAAACAGTTATATGGAGTTCTGAACAGATGACTTCACACTCTTTTTTTCTGCTTGCAATTCCTTCAGTATATGGGGTTCATAGTAAAGGAACATTTGGATCCAGTGACTCACCTGACAGCTCGGTGTGACCAACCAGCCATGTAATCCTGGGGCAGGGCCGTCCCCCGGACGTCGAGCAGTTCAGGACAATTTCATCTTTGGAGGATTTTCCGGGAATCTGAGCGATATCTATGACCGGCTGGGAAGGGGTAGCTGCAATAGAAATTGTTATAAATTGGGGTCATTCACAATTCATACAACAGGGTTAATTTACTAAAGGAAGAGCAACTGTTCACTGAGCAAAGAGTTCAATAATCTCAGATATGTGAAGCTGTGTGAGGTCAGTCAACCTCTGCCATTTATAATTTATTTTCCCTCGCACAATCGAGTATTAACATTGAACATGGGGCCCCTGTGTCCTTGCCCAAATTCAAAAAATAATTGCCATATAATAAGTCCCTACCAGGGGTGTCTCATGGGGCCCCCTACATGACCCCGGGCCCTCGGGCAGTGCCCGAAACCCAAATGGTACCCGGAGTCCGCCCCGATGTGAAGGGTGTTCAAGTCAATCAGCCAACTGTCTGCCATTTATGAATTTAATTTCCCTAGTGCACAATCAAGTATTAACATTTACACAGTTTTACCCTATTTTATTGATGTATTATTTATTTATTTCAGGTACTTATATAGCGCATCAATTTACACAGCACTTTACATATATATTGTACATTCACATCAGTCCCTAACCCTCAAGGGGTGTACAATCTAAGGTCCCTAATTCACATTCATACATACACATACTAGGGGCAATTTAGACAGGAGCCAATTCACCCACCAGCATGTCTTTGGAGTGTGGGAGGAAACTGGAGGAAATCCACATAGGCAGAACATGCAAACTCCAGGCAGGTGGTGCTATGGTTGGGATTCAAACCAATGACCCTAGTACTGCTAGGCAGAATTGCTAACCATTTAGCCACTGTGCTGCATCTTTTTTTATTATTTTATTTCAGTATCACTGAAAAAGGAGAAAAAAGGACAAAGGGGCTGTAACATATGTAGGGCCCAGGGACGGACTGACCATTTGGAAACTCAGGCACTGCCCCCGGGTCAGTAGGGGCCCCATGAAATGCCCCTGGTACTTTTTTCATAGGCTTTTTTGAGTTTGGGTAAGGACATAGGGGCCCCATGATCCCCTATTGCCCGGGGGCCCCATGAGTTGTCAGTCCGCCCCTGGTAGGGCTTACAACATGAAGCATTATATAAACAATAAAAGGACAAGGCTACATGCATCCTCTATAGTTGCCCTGTTTATCATTATCATAGAGAGTGAAAGAAAAAAATACCAGATTTTGGGTTGTCACCAGATCAAGGATAAAGCAGAAATCTTCTAATAGGGATACCGATCTGGTGACACCCTGGGGTTCCCTCAGTTTGGAGAGATTTTTCTCCCTAATGGGACACAGATGGCAAAAAAAAAAAACCTGACAGGGTTATAACCATCCCTAATGCCGGCCATAGACAGTTCGAAAATCGGCCGATTTTTCGGCCGAAAAATTTTCGCACTGTTAGGGAGTTAATTGGTCATCCGGTTTTTCGGGTTTTTTGCACTTTGAGATTATCGGTCATGTTGGAAAATTTGCGGCTGATTTGGAAAAACGGCCGATTTTCCTGGCAATGATGGCCAAAGCAGCCGATCGTTTTAACGATAAAAAATCTGCGCATGAGCCGTGACCTGCAAGGGACAGAAGTTTGGCTGTTATACGGGGTGAACTTTATGATGAACTTTATGATTTAGTCGGCCGATTTTTTTTAATCGTTGGTGGTAACGTCGGCTTAACAAATGACCGATTTTTCGTTTATCGTTCGAAAAATCGGCCGATGTTTGACCCGTCTATGGCCTGCATAACTCTACCCAAAATGTAAATGAAAAAATTTGCCTTTAGTTCTACTTTAAGGCAATTTATTCATTTTAGTTGGGCTGGTAGCACAGCTTATGGCTGGCCATACATTATACAATTTTCTTGAGATTTTTTATTTAGATTTACCAAAAACCATATAATAAATAAAGGTCAAAACTAACAACACTTTCAATCGTATCCAATTGGGTAGGCTCTTGCTCTACAAAGTTGAAGGTAAATCTAAAGGAAATTGGACAGAAAATTGTATAGTGTATGTCCAGCCTATTGCCCCTTTCACATGGTGGTCCAATCAGGTCCGCCTGTCAGTTTTTCAGTCTAATCAGGTCATTCATTAACCCCTATGGACAGGGATTGTAAAAAAGACTTGCGTCTGTTTATACCCACCTACCTTCGGTCCAATCCGTCTGCTACAAACCCCCCCCCCCCCAAAAAAAAAAAAAAAACAAAAGGGGATCTGTCCTCTTCCATCCAGTCGGATTGGAGGGTAGTTGGGTGTAAACAGACAGCGGAGTCCGTTTACTCTCGGCCACCCATAGAGCAGAGTGGGCTCTGTCTGTGTATGCTGTGCATAAACTGTGGACACATTCGCCTGCTCTGCTCCAATCAGCAGATCTGTAAGCTGATCCTCTGCTGATTGGACCGGAATCCACCCCATCAGGAAGGGGTCTAACACATGAAAAAACGGACATGACCATTTGTTCCTAATGCAGCAAACCAGAACACCTCGGCACATGCATTCCGGTACGCTGAAGTGCATTGTCTGCCACTGTAATAGTGCATTGGGATGTGATTCTAAAAGAATTGTCAAGTAGATGTTTGATAGCAGTGAACAGGTTACATCAGTCACTTCTGGGTCCATTGATTGACATCTTTTTCGGTTCAGGAGATTGGAGCGTAAGCCGCCTCTACAGAGCGGCGGTGACACATTACAGCTGAGTGTATTGGTGCTGAGATATCCCACATGGAAGAAAAATATATTTTAAATATATTTTAAAAATATTCTTCCCAAATATATTGACATATATTTGAAATACTACAAATTTGGCCTTATTTAATACATTAAAAAAAAATTTTTTGGGAATATATATATATATTATTAATATATATTGTATATTAACTGTATGTTGAAATGCATTTTTATTACAAAATATATGAAAAATAGTTTTAAAAATACATTTTCAAATATACTGCACATCTTTAAATATACATTTAATCTACATTTTTGGAATACATTTACAAATACATGTAGAAATATATGTTAAAATTACTTTTTTTATATGTTAAAAAAAATCTGAAGAATATATTTTAATAAAATATATTTTTAAAAATATTTTTCATATATTTTGTAATATATAAAAATGCATTTCAACATGCAGTATGTAAATAAAAACTACTACACTATGAGAAATATTATTTTCCCTTGATATATACAGTATACTATATTTTACTTCTTTGCCCTGGTTCACACTGATGTGGTGCGGAATTTGCAAGGTTTTCTGTGCGAATTCCGTACCGCATCAGAATTGCACCCCGTTCATGCAAACCGCTGCTTGTATGTATGTTAACACCCCGAAATTGGTCTGCAAAACGCGGTGCGATGTGGAGAATCGGATTGCATAGGTGTGAATACCCATGCAATCCGATTCTAGTGCGGACCAAAAAAAGGGTCCTGCACTTTTTTGGTGCGGTGCGATTAGAGCCACACAAAATGTATGACTCCAATTGCACCGCACACAAATCGCATGTGATTGGCACAGGAATGAGGTGTGGTTCTTATATCGAATCGCATGCAATTATACCGCACCGCATGTATGTGAACCCAGACTAACTGTCCTTTGCAATAATGTGCAGTAAAACAGACATTTGCATGGGCCCTTAAAGAGAAGCTTCAGCCAGGTTTCCAAAAATTAAAAGTCAGCAGCTACAAATACTGTAGCTGCTGACTTTTAATAAACGGACACTGATCAGTCTTGGGATCCAACACCATCCTCACCCGGGCCGGTTCTTTACCAGTCTTTGGGTCCCTGACGCCAGCATGTCAATTGTGGAAAGCTAGCTGTGACTCCTTGCAGGATCACAGCCAGCTCCTTACTGTGCATGTGCAGGCCACGCTGCGCCTTGTGAATGAACCTGCAGCTTCCAGGAACCTTTGATGTGTCTCAGAAGGTTGCGGGCAGGGAAGGTGGGGGCCGAACTTCCACTTGGATTGACTAGGTGGTTAGAGCAGAAGTGGAAGTGGGTACTTCTCAAAACAAGGTACCCGCTCCCCCTCACAAATATATATATTCCAAAAATGTCAGAGGAGGAGGAGGAAGAAAAGTAAAATCCCCTTTGGGTGAAGTTCTGCTTTAAACATGATATGTACGGTGACTTTAATCCGAAACACTGAATTTATATTATTCTGGTGAACTGTTGTATGTCCAAACTCTGAGGGTCTGTCTATACTTATGCACATCTGTCACAGAATTTTTCTGCCTCCAGCAGGAGAATGTAGTATGCCTGTCCTGACTGCAATATCAACTTTGACCACTAGATGAAGCCAATAATAAATGTACTGTTTTACAGAAATTAGAGACTGTTTAGATAAGAGCTAAGAGTTAATAAAAATTCCCACAATTCCGAGAGAAAGGAAAGAGATACATCTTGAGAGCTCAGCCTTCATGTTAGAATCTGGGAGAGAAGTAGCCAGCTATCAGAGCACGTGCTGAACTAAAACTTGCATCTCTTTGCATCCCCTAAAGGCAGCATCGCTGGTGCAAATTACTTATCGCCATCTTTGGTCTAACTATTCATTGTGTTTTCTATATGCTCTTACATTGTATGTATTTCTCTTCTGTTTTTTCCTAATAGTTTCACCCTACTCTGTTTTGTTAATAAAGCTTCAAGATTACACTCAGTCTGGCTTATTGCAAAATAGAAGGGTTCAGCTGCACAATGAGTTCCACACAGAGAAACGTGTAGGAAGGACAGAACAAGCATGTTGTAATGTGTTGCTTGATGCGTTAATGAGCATTGTCATACATGCTTTTATCCATGTGTCCATCCATCTCCTATGGACCTTTAGTGTGCATCAAAAATGTACATGACCCTTTTTACCTACACAGTATAGAAGTTTACTGGTGTATGTGTTGTAATGTGTTTAGGATCATGTGATTGTTTGATCCACAGTGAATAGACAACCCCCAAAACACATGCACAATGCATATGTACAACATGCTACAACATGCATCCACACACATACATGTACATGGGTCCTGATCGAGATGGGAACTAGAAGAGTTAAGCTCCTCTGTGTGCAGCTTCTGCAATGCTTCCTGTATGTTCTTCTCTTTGAGGTTCTTTCTGAGCGTCGGGGCTTCTTCTCTGTCCTGTAGGTTTCACTTTTAGTCTTTGTTGACCCATCATACATGATAAGCAGCGCCTTTGTCACATGATGTCTGTTACAACGAAGGGGAACTTAAGGATTGGAAAATGCTGTATCATAACATGTACCATTATAGCCACTGCGGAACTGCAAGTTGCATAATTTCATACGGGAATTCCCCAACAGCTGAACAGCCAATGACTGTCAGACATATGGGTGTTGATTTACTAGTAGCCAATCAGCTTCCAGGTTTTATTGTCACAGCTTAATTCAACAAGTTGAAGTTAGAAGGTGATTGGCTGCCATACACAGCTGCAACAGATCTGTGTACTCTCCAGTTTTAGTAAATCCCCCCGGTGGTGCTCACATGCACTTGGGTTTTTTAGTGAAATATTATTATTATATTATTATACAGGATTTATATAGCGCCAACCAGGGGCGAATTGACAACTCATGGGGCCCCCGGGCAATAGGGGATCATGGGGCCCCTGTGTCCTTGCCCAAACTCAAAAAAGCCTATGAAAAAGGTACCAGGGGGATCTCATGGGACCCCCCTACTGACCCCGGGCCCTCGGGCAGTGCCCGAATTTCCAAATGGTCAGTCCGCCCCTAACGCCAACAGTTTGCTCAGCGCTTTACAATATAACTATATAACAATATAAATATGATTGATTCTAAAAAAAATGTGTTTTAGGATTCTTTAAAAAAAAATTTCCAGCTCAAAAAAAAGTCCATGAGACAAAATGCTTTTGACCGGTTTTGATGGAGATTTCAAGTATCCTTCTAAACACGCTTGTTTTTTTTGTTTTTTTGACAAATAAATTTAAATTCTAATCTAATCAATTCTAATCTGCTCATGGAATCAACCATTCAAATAATTACTAATACATTTAAGGGACATCCATTGCATGGCAAACTGAACACCCACCATTATGTGGGCAGGATCACTCAAAAAAGGCAAATGGAAACTGTAACCAATTTTAAAGCTTAATTCCGGAAACAAAATTTAAATATATTCCTCAATAGCCACCAAGGATATAAATCTGCTTATGTTGCCTTAATGTTGTGAAATTTACATCATTTACCTCCAAGTTTTATTTTTGAATAATCATCTGCCTCCACGTTTTATTTCAGAACAATCACTTGTTTCCACGTTTTGTTTTTGACCAATCATCTGCCTCCATGTTTTATTTTTGACCAGTCATCTGCCTCCACGTTTTTGACTAATCATCTGCCTCCACGTTTTTGACTAATCATCTGCCTCCACGTTTTTGTTCTTGACTAATCATCTGCCTCCACATTTTTGTTCTTGACCAATCATCTGCCTCCACATTTTTGTTTTTGACCAATCATCTGCCTCCATGTTTTTGTTCTTGACCAATCATCTGCCTCCACGTTTTTGACTAATCAGCTGCCTCAACGTTTTTGTTCTTGACCAATCATCTGCCTCCATGTTTTGTTTTTGACCAATCATCTGCCTCCACATTTTTGTTTTTGACCAGTCATCTGCCTCCACATTTTTGTTTTTGACCAATCATCTGCCTCCATGTTTTGTTTCTCACCAATCATCTGCCTCCATGTTTTGTTTCTCACCAATCATCTGCCTCCACATTTTATTTTTGACCAATCATCTGCCTCCTCATTTTGTTTCTGACCAATCATCTGCCTCCTCATTTTGTTTCTGACCAATAACCCGGCCAATGCATGCATCACTTACCCCACACAGTAACATCGACCTCCTTGGCTTTCACTGGCATGCTGTAGTGTAAACATGTATACACGCCTTCGTCATCAATGGTAATATTGGATATACTGATAATCAGCCTATTCCGTGATGATCTGATTAATTGGAATCTTCTGTCTTTCAAAACTAAAAATAAAGCAAAAAAAGTGAAAGTGACGGCAACATTCAAACGTGTTTTCAGTGTTGTATAGAGTAAATAATGGTCAAAACCACCATCAGTCTGTATTTTGTGTTTAAGTTGCCGTCTAAGTTCAATTAGGGAGATTTCCAATCACGTTCTCTCCTGGAGACACAACAGGAAGTGAAAAGAATTCTCTCCAAAGTGAGAAATCTAGACAACTGGCACCATAGCAGGTGTTCCCATTGGACTTTTCACCTTATGGCCAATGCGTTTTTGGGGGATTGGTGCCCGCAAGATTTAAGTCAGATCTGTTGTTCCTGGGCACTCCAGTCCGTATCCTAATATGATACCATTGTTCCTGGGTGTCCATAGTACCCCCTGCAGGCTCAGCAGATGCTCTGTACCTCTCATGACCAACAAATCAAACGCTACCAAAGCCCTGAAGAAGGGGAACCCCAACCCCCAAAGCGCGATGGCCTTGTTTTAGTTCATACACCAATAAAGTGATCATTGTTCTCCAACCAGCTGAAGTTTCCAAAACGCAGCAGTCGTTCCATACCATATCCAAAATTATAACAAAAAATTTGGGCTGTACTGTAAATGCAACTTTAATGTCCATGCAGTGGTAATAATTTAAAGACCATTTCTTTAGAATTTGTTTTGACAAATCTGACCAATTCCACAATTTGGACAAACTGACCAATTCATACAATTAGCTGTCTTCTAGAACATGCAAGTAGAAGGTAAAAAAGCACAAATGGCAGCTATCTCCAGTTTTCCCTATCCCCCAAAAAGCCCCATTACAAGATGCTTGACACGCTTTACCAGCCTTTATGTGTCGCTTTGGCACAGTAAAGGCTTCTTTCTGGCAATTTGACCATGCAACTCATTTTTGTTCAAGTATCGTCATATTGTACTCCTTCAAAACAACCACACTGTCTTTTCCCAGAGCAGCCTGTATTTCTCCTGAGGTTATCTGTTGGGTTTTATTTTGTATCCCAAACAATTCTTCTGGCAGTTGTGGCTGCAATCTTTATTGGTCTACCTGACCTTGGCTTGGTATCAAGAGAACCCCGAATTTAATAATAATTACTTAATAAGTGATTGAAGAGTACTGACTGGCATATTCAAGGCTTTGGATATCTCTTTGTATCCTTTTCTATCTTTATTAAGTTCCATTAACTTGTTATGTAGATCTCTTTTTACAGTTCTTTTCTGCTCCCCATGGCTCAGTATCTAGCCTGCTCAATGTATCCACATGAGAGCTAACAAATTTATTGACCATACACAAACACTAATTGCAATTTAAAAAGTCACAGATGTGGGAAATTAACCTTTAATTGCCATTTTAACCTGTGTGTGTCACCATGTGTGTCTGTACCAAGGCCAAACATTCCAGGAGATGGAAACTTTTGATCATGGCTATTTGGGTGATTTCTATTATCATTATGATTTAAAAAGGAGCCAAACAACTATGTGATAATAAATGGCTTCATATGATCATCCTCCTAAAATAAACACAGTTTTTGGCACAATCAGTCATATTTTCAATATCAATGCCAAAATGTCATGATTTCTGCCAGGGTATGAAAACTTTTGAGCACAACTGTATATAATATTACTATTATTATTATTATTAATAATAATAATAATAATAATAATAATAATTTTTTCTAAAAGTTATTAACCTCCCTAACAGTCTGATTATGTCCATATTTCTGTGCTCAAAGCGGTACATTTTTTTGCATGGAAATATGTATTTTTTTTATTGTAGGCCTGTAATTTTTAGGAATAACTCACTGAAACAAGAATCTAGTAAACATCCCGGGTATGTTAAAATATGAAACGCGAAATCATAACTTATAATTTAATATTCATAAAAAATAATAATATAATAATAATACATTTAATTCAATAATCAAACCAAAAACACTGAAATTTAAATATAGCGCCAAGTTCACACATCATTGAGCAAAGTCGCAAAATCGTGAATGTCACTTTTACAACTTTCAAATTTCCCGCCAGTTCTGTCCCCGTACGTCCGGATGTCGCAGGGAAGATAGATGCCGGCATCGGCCGGAGGACATTGCCAGGGACACTGCAGGAGGGACATCGCTGGAGCGCAGGACGAGGTAAGTGAAGACGAGATCCCGGAGCAACGCTGCAGGACATTCCCGAGTGTAGCTCGGGGTTACTGCTTGTGGTGCTAAAACTTTACCCCGAGCTACACTCGGGAATACCGCCAGGGGGTTAAAAAATAAAGCACCAAAAAAAATTTTTTTTTCGACCGTTGGTATTTCTAAGGTTCGGTTCACACTAGTGCAACTTGTCATGCAACCCGCGCTACATAAAGTAGCATGACAAGTCAAAACCCATTTATTTCAATGGCACCCATTACAATCTATGTGACTAAAGTTGCAGTGTACAGGCGTACCTCGGTTTACGAATTTAATGTGTTCTCCGGGACGTTTCGTATTGTGAAAAATTCGTAAACTGAAACACAATTTCCCATAGGAATGCATTGAAAACCAATTAATCCGTTCTGAAGGTCAGAAAAAACTTTTTAAAAAAGTATTTTATCTGTTCAAAACTCTTTATAAAGTGCACTTTAAAGGCATAAATACTGTACAGGGACATGAGTCAAAATTAATTTGTAAATGCATTGCAAACCAATGAATCCGTTCCGGAGGTCAGAAAAAAGTAAAAAGAAAGTCTTTTATCTGTTCAAAGCTCTTTATAAAGTGCACTTTAAAGGCACGAGGCCGGTGCTATAAACCTCCCAGATGCAATGCATTGTGGGGAAACTTGCTTTGTATTGTGAAAAAAATTTGTAAACCGAGGCATTATTTTCAATGGATTTTCATTCGTAAACTGAAAATTACGTCACGTTAAAAATGTGAGTTTTTCAGATTTTTTTAGCATTTTTGCATTAACAGCGTATTCCTGTATGTGCATTTTTAGCATTTTTTGGGGGGGTTAAAAAAAGTCCAAAACCCAGTTTGTGGCGTTTTGCCTTGTTTTTCAGCATTAGAGCATTTTTACAGCTAAAAAACTCCTCTAGAAACCCACTAGTTCTGGGGTTTTTTTCCAGCCAAAAAACATTCCTGCCAAAAAACATTGATTCCAGTCTATGTGTGTGGGGACACATAGGATAACATGCTGGGGGGATTACTGGCTGTAGAAAAAAACATCAAAAGCCAAAAACAGCTGCTGTAAAAACGTCCAGTGTGCATGAGGACTTATGCTTATTGCCCTCTGAAAACGAATCCACGGGTCACTTTTCAGAGGGAGGAATAACAACTGTTGGCAGGCAATAAGGAGGTGCTACTACTACCTCCAGATGGCTGTATTTTTTTTTTTTAATTGCCACCAATTTTATATTGTGGGGCTGCACCTCTACTGCGAGCAAAACATTTGGCAATGCGGCCCTGATTGATCATTGGGGAAGCAGAAGCCTCTGTGATTGGCTCCTGCCTTACATGGATACTTCAGCCGTCAGACTATCAGATGGTCCCAGAGTGTTGTACACACAGCAGCTCCGTGATTCGACCTTTAAATGATCCTTCATTCACCCAACCTGTCCATCCATTATTCCTCCCAGGAAAAGAATGATGACAATTAAAGAAGGACTCCGCACTCACCTTTCTCACTGCTGAAGAAAGTCACATATCCCCCTGGTGTGAGCCACTGCATGGCGGAGCTGTGTCACTCCCTGGGAATGCACATCTAAGAGTGAGGGTCCCTCCTTCCTCCACAGACACACGTGAGTAGAGAGTTTTTGCTGCAACAAAGGTTTGTGGTGAGTTGTGTTCTGGCAACTCTGTACAGGAAATTCTGCATAGCAAAAACGTAAAGAATAAGCTCTGACAATGAACCGCTCATATCTGGACTCTTGAGGTCTGATAGATATACAATTGAAAGTCTTCTGTTATATTTGTTTTAGAAGAACAAAAAGTACCTGTTGATCCTGCCAGAAATCAAGCAAAATGACAACTTCCTGTGTTCTCTGGTAAAACTCCTATCAGTTACCCACCATCTCTGAGGACTACAGAGGCCCCCCCCATGTTATGGAGAAGTGGAGAGGGGTAGGTGTAGTTCTGTTCTAGACTGACTAGGCTGTTCTTTTGTTTCTATAGTACAGTAGGTGATCATTGGCAGATCAGGACAGGAAGTGTGCGACTGATATGGTGACCAGGTGAAAATAAAGACAAAGCACTGAAAAGCTGCAATATATAATGTTTCCTTGGATTTAGATATATTTTATCACTCCCTAACACTTAAAGTGTTACTAAACCCTGGACCCTGCATTCACTATATCTGGTCTCCCCGGACCCTGCATTTCACTATATCTGGTCTCCCCGGACTCTGCATTCACTATATCTGGTCTCCCAGGACCCTGCATTCACTATATCTGGTCCCCCCGGACCCTGCATTCACTATATCTGGTCACCCCGGACCCTGCATTCACTATATTTGGTCACCCCGGACCCTGCATTCACTATATTTGGTCTCCCCGGACCCTGCATTCACTATATCTGGTCCTGCCAGTCCCTGCATTCACTATATCTGGTCCCCCGGACCCTGCATTCACTATATCTGGTCACCCCAGGACCCTGCATTCACTATATTTGGTCTCCCCAGACCCTGCATTCACTATATCTGGTCTCCCTGGACCCTGCATTCACTATATCTGGTCTCCCCAGAAACTGCATTCACTATATCTGGTCTCCCCGGAAACCCTGCATTCACTATATCTGGTCCTGCCAGACCCTGCATTCACTATATCTGGTCTCCCCAGAAACTGCATTCACTATATCTGGTCTCCCCAGGACCCTGCATTCACTATATCTGGTCCTGCCAGACCCTGCATTCACTATATCTGGTCTCCCAGGACCCTGCATTCACTATATCTAGTCTCCCCGGATCCTGCATTCACTATATCCATTCTCCCCGGACCCTGTATTCACTATATCTGGTCTCCCCGGACCCTGCATTCACTATATCTGGTCTCCCAGGACCCTGCATTCACTATATCTGGTCTCCCAGGACCCTGAATTCACTATATCTGGTCTCCCAGGACCCTGAATTCACTATATCTGGTCTCCCAGGACCTGCATTCACTATATCTGGTCTCCCCAGACCCTGCATTCACTATATCTGGTCTCCCCTAGGACCCTGCATTCACTATATCTGGTCTCCCAGGACCCTGCATTCACTATATCTGGTCCCCCCGGACCCTGCATTCACTATATCTGGTCTCCCCGGACCCTGCATTCACTATATCTGGTCTCCCCGGACCCTGCATTCACTATATCTGGTCTCCCAGGACCTGCATTCACTATATCTGGTCCTCCCCACACTGTGCATTTGAAATATTTTGTCCCCCCACATGTAAAATGTTGAAATACATTTTTAAATATACTGTATGTCTTTAAAAATATATTTAATATACATTTTTGGAATGCATTAACAAATATATGTAAAACAATATGTTAAAATTACTTTTCTTATACGTTAAAAAAATCTGAAGAATATTTTTAAATATATATATTTTTAAAAATATTTCTCATTTATTTTGTAATATATAAAAAACGCATTTCAACATGCAGTGTATATACATATATGTATTTTTATATATGTGAGTACACCCCTCACATTTTTGTAAATATTTAATTCTATCTTTTCATGTGACAACACTGCTGAAATGACACTTTGCTACAATGTGACGTAGTGGGTGTACAGCTTGTATAACATGTAAATTTGCTGTCCCCTCAAAATAACTCAACACACAGCCATTAATGTCTAAATCCCTAAGTGAAAAAGTCCAAATTGGGCTCAATTAGCCATGTTCCCTCCCCGGTGTCATGTGACTCGTTAGTGTTACAAGGTCTCAGGTGTGAATGGGGAGCAGGTGTGTTAAATTTGGTGTTATCGCTCTCACTCTCTCATACTGGTCCCTTGAAGTTCAACATGGCACCTCATGGCAAAGAACTCTCTGAGGATCTGAAAAAAAGAAATTGATTGTTGCTCTACATAAAGATGTCATAGACTATAAGAAGATTGCCAAGACCCTGAAAATGAGCTGCAGCACGGTGGCCAAGACCATACAGCGGGTTTAACAGGACAGGTTCCACTCAGAACAGGCCTTGCCATGGTTGACCAAAGAAGTTGAGTGTACGTGCTCAGTGTCATATCCAGAGGTTGTCTTTGGGAAGTAGATGTATGAATGCTGCCAGCATTGCTGCACAGGTTGAAGGGGTGTCAGCCTGTCAGTGCTCAGACCATACGCCGCACACTGCATCAAATTGGTCTGCATGGCTGTCATCCCAGAAGGAAGCCTCTTCTAAAGATGATGCACAAGAAAGCCTGCAAACAGTTTGCTGAAGACAAGCAGACTAAGGACATGGATTACTGGAACCATGTCCTGTGGTCTGATGACACCAAGATAAACTGATTTGGTTCAGATGGTGTCAAGCATGTGTGGCGGCAACAAGGTGAGGAGTACAAAGACAAGTGTGTCCTGCCTACAGTCAAGCATGGTGGTGGGAGTGTCATGGTCTGGGGCTGCATGAGTGCTGCTGGCACTGGGGAGCTACAGTTCATTGAGGGAACCATGAATGCCAACATGTACTGTGACATACTGAAGCAGAGCATGATCCCCTCCCTTCAAAGACTGGGCCGCAGGGCAGTATTCCAACATAACGACCCCAAACACACCTCCAAGACAACCACTGCCTTGCTAAAGAAGCTGAGGGTAAAGTGATGGACTGGCCAAGCGTGTCTCCAGACCTAAACCCTCTTGAGCATCTGTGGGGCATCCTCAAGGTGGAGGAGCGCAAGGTCTCTAACATCCACCAGCTCCGCGAAGTCGGCATGGAGGAGTGGAAGAAGACTCCAGTGGTAACCTGTGAAGCTCTGGTGAACTCCCATGCCCAAGAGGGTTAAGGCAGTGCTGGAAAATAATGGTGGCCACACAAAATATTGACACATTGGACCCAATTTGGAAATTTTCACTTAGGGGTGTACTCACTTTTGTTGCCAGCGGTTTAGACATTAATGGCTGTGTGTTGAGTTATTTTGAGGGGACAGCAAATTTACACTGTTATACAATCTGTACATTCACTACGTCACATTGTAGCAAAGTGTCATTTCTTCAGTGTTGTCACATGAAAAGATAGAATCAAATATTTACAAAAATATGAGGGGTGGACTCACTTCTGTGAGATACTGTGTGTGTGTATATATATATATTTTTTTTCTTTTTCTTTTTTTAAACGTATTGAATACGGCCAAAATTGTAGTATTTAAAATATATTTTTCTTCCATGTGGGTTGTTCTCTCAGTACTCTTGGGTTTGAGCCATAAAAGCAGACCAACACATTTGCTTCGAACAAAACCCTAACGTTGTATTTATGAAGCAGTGAATCTGACCTTCACCAAAAATGCACTGCTGGTGAATCTTCTAGGTGCATGGCATTTAAAATGACAGTTATTAATTCACCACCAGTGAATGCTTAGTGAAAGTCACATTCACTGCTTTACGAAAAAAGCCACTAAGTTAACCCATTAAAACCTCACTTTCTCCTCCCAAAACATTGCATCATTGTGTGCCAAAGATGAACGGCTTCAAGTTTTCCAAAGCAAAAAGTAACAGATTTACCCCACTGGCACAATTGTAGCCTAAATTATCTGATAAGGAAAAAAAAGGCCTACACTTGACTTTCTAGTACTTGTGGGTACAATGTTGAATGTCACATGTTCTGGGATAGGTAGCGTAATGCCTACACTGGGGGTACCATGGTAAGGGTATTATATCTAGAAGTACGGACTTACCTTCCCCCTTGAGTAGAGCCCCCAGCACACAGAGCAGTGCGCAGACGAACATTAGTCCTCTCTGCACTTCTCTCTTTCTGAACTTCCTCCAGACTCTGCAAACGTTTTCATGTCTGAGATGTTGGGGGGGGTCACGGAAATCTTTGAAGATCGGTGACATCAGTATGTTGATGGAGAACGAGCGGTCTTTCCACCCTGAGAAAGTGAGCGATGCGTCTTTACCACAAATATCACAAACAAGCCTTCGCCCCCCACTTGAGACCTGTAGCTCCGAGGCAATAGGAAACCATATAATGAGACAGAAGTAACTTTCTATATGAAATAGTCCCACAGGGGTTACAGCTCTCCAGCCGCTGGGGAACTACAGATTCTAGCATAGTCCAGCTGACCTTTTTCTTTCCATTACAAACTGAAAGGTTTTTTATAATATACTGAAGGTTGCCTGTATAAGGCTGAAATAAATTAGTTCTCACAGTCTCATGTTTCAGGCAGCTGTAGAATATGGTGGAAGAGAAAAATTATTTTACAAGTTGTTTTTTTTTGGGGGGTTTTTTTTAACAGTTGCGTTTATTGAAATTGTACAAAAGTATAGCAAAGTAAGGTACAAAAGAACAGGCAAACTTATGGCGGTCAGTAGAGATATAATTCCCATGGCATTCCAATGCTAAAGATCATATGGAGTCAAGTCGTTTTTTTTTTTTTTCCTTTTAATCAGAGTGCCCCTTTAGGGTCATGTTGCATGGGGTTCAGGTGTAGGGTGCACTAGATATTTCTGTGGCTGAATGGGTCACAGTAAGTTGGGGCACGGAGGTGACCATCCTTGTAGGAAGAATGACAGATTGGTACTCACAGTGAGCAAAGTATATGCATGTTGGTTAGGTGGCCAGGTGGAACTGAGTTTCAGCAGTGATCTATTGGAGCCTGGGTGGTATTGCAGAGTTTTTTGAACCCCGGTGTCACCAGGGGGATCAGCTGACTAAAATCCAGCACATACTGCAGTGAAACAGTAAGCAAAGTCCACAATCCACAGGAAGGTGGTCTGAACAAGCAAAAGCAGAGTCAGAGAAATGGTCAGTACAGGTAAAAAAGAGATTTTCAACATAATACAAATTACTTTAGTTATCTGGGGTATGCACAATGGACAACAAATGAAACCTACTGATCAGACACAGGCTAAAGGTCCAGCAGTCTATTTAAGCATTCCTAATTGGGGAAGGTGTCAAATGCAGTCCTGAGATGCAGTACTGTGTAATGAACAGCAGGTGGCAAAGTCTCAAGAGAGGTACCAGACAGAATGATCAGTGCCCATGCCAGATAGAGTGACCAGTGCCCATGTTACATTGTTGCATTTTTCCACATCGTGAATATTGTCATGCCTGTTGTATGCTAGCATACGAGGAGTGTTACCAGTGTGAACTGTTGTCCTGTTTGTGGATTACGGCCATATGGTGGCTGTATTAAAAACAATATTAACATGTTACTTTAGGCAGGTAAAGTGCAGCTCAGAAGGAGGTCAACTGGTGCTTGAATGCACTTGTTAATGGATTTGAATGATTTGAAAAGCATCTCAAACTGATACCTTTGACAGGACTCCAAAGCCTGTCAACACAGGGCATTGATTATAATCTATTTTCTCATAGCCACCAATCAGAGAGCAGGAATGCCAAGGGGTAATGGAGGGGATTCAGGGATGCTCTTTGGATCCTCCACAATACTTCAGAACAGCTTTAAGGTAAGAGGAACATTTTCTTTTTTTTCTTCTTAGCTAAACCTAAACCCACAGGACTCTACAATTAATTCTGGCACCCATATAGGTGACATCATATTAGTATGATACGTTCAGGTTCATGTAGTTTATGTTCACACAAGCAGAGGCTTTATGCAATGGTGACATCACTGAAAAAAACCCCCACAAGGACTTCCCAAAATGGTAAATACAAATGACCTTTCTGAGTCCAGACATTTCCGGTAAAACCCACAAAAGGCCATTTCAGGGAGTTTGTATCGTAACCCTGGAGTACAAGTGGGCAAATAATGGGGCAAAAGGCACAGCTGAGGGCACAGACAAGGGGGTAACGAGGACACCGAGGACAGATGTATTCATAGAATAAATAAACACCTAAAATTCATTCCTCCTCAAAATGATTCACAGAGCTTCTCCTACTAAATGTGCTGGCTGACCGAGCTTCAAGTACAAACAAAGGAAGTAGATCTTTTAGAATTGGTATAGAATAGAGTGTTGTCAGAAACCATCTTATTCATCATCTAATTCAGAATGATATTAGGCGGTGTACAAATACCACAAAAACCACAAAAATACCCCCAAAAGGAGGAAGTCTGATAAAAAAAAAGAAGACCAACTATACAATAAGCAGAAGGAGCTCTACACCAATGGTTAGAGAGTCCAATATATTATTATTATTATTATTATACAGGATTTATATAGCGCCAACAGTTTGCTCAGCGCTTTACAATATAACGGGAGACAATACAGCAACAATACAGTTCAATACAAGAGGGTTAGGAGGGCCCTGCTCCTTGGAGCTTACAATCTAAGAGGGAGGGGCTAGTGGTACAAAAGGTAATAACTGTGGGGGATGGACTGATAGGAGGAGTAGAAGATTCCATTATTAGCTGATGGCAGGATAGGCTTCCCTGAAGAGATAGGTTTTCAGAGATCGCCTAAAAATGAGCAGAGTAAGCGATAGTCTGATAAATTGGGGTAGAGAGTTCCAGAGGATGAGGGAAGCTCTGGAGAAGTCCTGGAGACGAGCATGGGAGGAGGAGACAAGGGAGCTAGAGAGCAGGAGGTCGTGCAACATTTCATTAAACATTTTGAGGTTTTGGACACCGCCTACCTTTCGATGGGCTTATATATTGTCTAATCTGAAATGAAATGCAACAAAAATGATATATTATCTAAAATTTCATTTCAGCCACTCAGTCTATAGAGCTGGAAGTTCTCATCTCTTTGGACTCTCTGACCATCGGTGTGGCACTTCTTCTGCTTCCTCTATAGTCTCACCGAGTTTTAAGGCGCTGTGTGGGAACCGAACCATTGAACCACCAACAGTTCACTACTCATACGCAGAGCGTGCAGGAGCCCTCTAGGCTCATTCCTTCTTTCTAGAGCCTCCAGTCTACCAGTTATTGGGCCAAAAGGCAGTCTAGCCTGATATCATGTGATCATAACTTGGCAATGCCAAGCTGCGGTTTCTAAAGCGAGCAAAATCCTCTCTTGCAGTAAAAGAGGTATAGACTCCAGAGAGAGAGATATCATTTCCCCCGGTACAAATCATTAGTAACACCTCATCTGGAATTCACCCTGAGGTCATCACAGAGGAAAAGGGGGCGCTCTTTTTACGTCTGGAAGAAAAGAGATTTAATCTCCAAACACGGAAAGGTTTCTTCACAGTAAGAGCTGTGAAAATGTGGAATAGACTCCCTCAAGAGTTGGTTCTGGCCAGCTCAGTGGATTGCTTTAAAAAAGTCCTGGATTATTTCTTGGATACACAGAATATAACTGGATACTAACATTTTAGTAAAGTTGATCCAGGGAATATCCGATTGCCTCTCAGGGAATCAGGAAGGAATTGTTTTCCCCTGAGGAGCAAATTGGATCGTGCTTTGCTGGGTTTTTATGCCTTCCTCTGGATCAACTGTGGGTATAGGATTACAGCTTTTTTTTTTTTTTAATGGTTGAACTGGATGGACTTTTGTCTTTTCTCAGCCAGACTAACTATGTAACTATGTATAACTTAGATATTTATATCTAGCTATTGAATCACCAATAACATTCACACATGGCCACTGACCTGATCAGTCAGCAAGGGTGGGTCATGCTCACCAATCACATGGGTTGGAGGGTGGGGTGTTAGTAAGGAAGAGAATGGATGAGAAGTTAAGAGAATAATTTACTAACTCAGGTTAGGCTGGAACAGGGGCGGACTGACCATTTGTAAACTCGGGCACTGCCCGAGGGCCCAGGGTCAGTAGGGGGCCCCATGAAATGCCCCTGGTACCTTTTTCACAGGCTTTTTTGAGTTTGGGCAAGGACACAGGGGTCCCATGATCCCCTATTGCCCGGGGGCCCCATGAATTGTCAGTCCGCCCCTGGGCTGTTAAGTAGCTTTGGGAATCCAATCAGCAAAGTGGATACAGGGGTGGATTTAGTGGATCTCCAGCATATCAAGAACATTTGCTTACTGCTTACGTTGATGGTCAGATCTGATCGCTGGGTCTTCCAGGAGACACTAACCATCAGGTGAATCAATCCAATGGTCTCCAGCTGTAACTTAACTATACATTTGTTTAGTGGGCTGACCTTTAATGTTGGGTTCATACCTATGCATTGCAGTAAAATAGGTCTCATGTAAGGTGCTGTCCAATGAGAATGGGCCCCCCAAGGCAAGCTACATTAGGAACCAGGGGATGGACAGTGCAGCGCACCACAATGCACATACCTTACAGTGTGGAGTACTGCATTAAAAAAGGTGCCACTTTGGGTTTTGGTCCTTTGCCATAGGTCGGCAGCCCACTCTATACGAATAGGGTTCCCTGGCACAACACACGTTAACCCACAAAATACTGCACAATACTCACATTAACCGCAGGGGCACCGGCCATCTATTGGTCCATGTTCAGGGGCCATGTGTGATGGGACCCTAATGGAGGGGCATCTGTTTGGTCCATGTTCAGGGGCCATGTGTGATGGGACCCTAATGGAGGGGCATCTGTTTGGTCCATGTTCAGGGGCCATGTGTGATGGGACCCTAATGGAGGGGCATCTGTTTGGTCCATGTTCAGGGCCATGTGTGATGGGACCCTAATGGAGGGGCATCTGTTTGGTCCATGTTCAAGGGCCATGTGTGATGGGACCCTAATGGAGGGGCATCTGTTTGGTCCATGTTCAGGGGCCATGTGTGATGGGACCCTAATGGAGGGGCATCTATTTGGTCCATGTTCAGGGGCCATGTGTGATGGGACCCTAATGGAGGGGCATCTGTTTGGTCCATGTTCAGGGGCCATGTGTGATGGGACCCTAATGGAGG